TTGTGCCAGATCGAAATTCGGGCCGCTGGCAACCATTTTGCTGATACGGAAGAAAGTCGCGGACAACACCACGAGATACCACTCGATCGATCATTAGTATACCGACAAAAACAAGCAGGCACACATAGATAAGAACTTGCACGCCGAGCAAATCGTTTTTTCTTTCGTTTTTGCCTTTCAGAATTGGCAGTCCACGGCGGACTTGTGATTTCTTCTTTTTCTTCGATCAAACTACTGTGCTCGTCCGCTTGAAAAGGACGCCATGTTGGCGGGACAACAAAGAACCTGCCAGAATGTCTGCGATCGTCATCAATTATTAAAATCACAGACAATTTTACGAGTTTCACGATAATTTTAGACGATTTTTGGAAAATAAAAACTCAGTTGCAGAAACTCAGTTTCTTTTTCTGATTTTGCAATTTGATCTTTGCATTTGATTGTTAAGCACGCCATCTTTATGAAACTTGGCGAATGCAGAGTAACGAAGTATTTCTTCAAAGATTTGTTTAATCTAATTTTTAGATTTACATTTTTAGAAATTATGTTATGGTGATAAAAGGAGATTTTCAAAATTTCATCTGTATCTTTGAAAGGTTCGCCATTATGGGATATACGTGTCGATATAATCAAAGTTAACGTTCAAATTAAATTAGAAAAAAAAGGTAATGAGTACAGAACTTCTTGCGACTTTTTTGTGTTAATAAACAAATAACGAAATATGCCCGACGTGCTTTTCTTTTGTGTAACAATAGATTGCGAATATTATGCATTCTTGTGTCAATTAGAAAAATTTGTTTATAGAAAACTTCAACAAAAATTACAGTAACTTTGTTTTATTTTCAATAGAGTGCAACTTTTAAAATAAGAAATAAATTTGTAATATTTTAAATTCATTATATTATTTTCATATTTTAAATTACTTTTGGAGAATTCAAATCTGCATAAATATCCGCAGTCTAACAACAACGAAACGGGATGGGGAAGAAACGAAACGCTGCACAAATTAGGCGTGCTTGGATACATCGTGTCATTCTGCATGATTCGAGTATCATCGCAAGTTTGTTCCCACAACGACACGCCGGTGGAAAATAAAAACGAGGCTATTCGACATCGACACGTTTGCACAGACACCAAACAGAAACGATAGCATTGGATGCACAAATTCATCGAGTGGACAGTCTATCAAACACAAAGCACTGTTACCAATTAAAAAGGAATACATGTCGCAATTGAGAATAATTACAAATAAAACGAAAGAAATATTGATTGAACAGGTACACTGACTCACAAATTTTTTCACGGCGAGATTCGTTACATGTAGCAACCGACACAAAGCTTTATCTTATCTTTGTCCAGTAGCAGAGAAAAAAACAACAATCAGTTTGATCTTCGTTGTTTTTCTACTTTCTATGTTACACGTAAATCTGAAGAAAGCTATGTACAGATTAAATTCGAGTAAAAAGTTACATACAGAATTAGGAACTTTACAGTGAAATTAAGAGGAACACACAGCAAAATTTTGCTAGAAGCAAAGATAATGAAAACAAAGGAGTAGAAAGCATACTTAAGTTGAACTGTGATTTGGAAAGTATGTGAAGAGATATGTGAGTCACTGTGAATATTGAATTTCAAAAACAATTCTTACGTACATTGAAATAGTTAATTCCACAAAATTGTTCCTACGTTCAGAGGTAACGAAAAAACATTGTAGCTGAAGATATACAGTAGCCCATCAAAGTATTTGGACTGATACTTGAATAAAAAGAAAGTTTATTCTTCTTACATTGTAAATAATGAAGCTATATATGGTGAAAACATTAATCCACAATATACAACATAAAAATCAATACACGTTAATTGTAGCGAATAGTATAATGAAATTAAGAAACAAATTTGTTGCTTCCCTATGACCAGTCCAAATACCCTCTTCAAGAGCTATACTTCACAAACAGCGTTGCTACAGTTCATTTTAGATACTTGAGAGTCTAAATAGTCACTAGATTGCGGTTATTCGTAGAAATTTAATAATAGCTGAATTATTTTATAAAAGAGTGAATGGAATAATTAATTTCCTTCGATAATTATTTAAAAATATTAACTATAAAAGAATGACGTATTATTTATTAACAAATCAAGTTAAAATATCAGATAAAAGTAACAATTTGTTTCGATTTTTATTACATTATGTTAATTAACAGTTAATTGATGCAGTAAATTTTTGCAGAATTTCAAAGTTCTTAAATCTGAGTATGAAAATGGGAATTAATAGAAAATATCCGCAGTCTAGTGAAGGAAACGATGAAGACCGTGTATGAGACACATTCCTGTCTGGTCTGACCACAGTCAGGCGTTACTACTAGTTTACATCCAATGCAACCGCAGTAGTGTTCTGGTGATCTTCCCTCTAATAGCCACGTGCGGAAATTAAAAAGGACAGTGTCGTCTCTTAGAAGGTACGTTGGCCCTAAGGGCGTGCAGCGAATTTCTATTCAAAGTGTGACGAGACAGGTTATACCATCAAGAAGCAGGTGATTCTTAACGCGAAATTAAATAATAAAATTGTCTTATACAAAACTTCGTTTCTAAGAAACTCAATTTACGGTTTGAACAATATTTCGTTATATACTTTCGATATATCGCTGCCTAAAAGTATGTAATTAATATTATTTAATATATGTATATTAAAACAAGAGGAAAATATCTTAGTTTTCACAAAGATATGAATAATATCATGGAAATTTGCAATTGGTGACAGAAATTGTAACCAAACATAGAAATTCATGATACTGTAACATTCTGAATATACAAACAATCAGATTTGCTGATAAACTGTTTCCTGAAAGATATTGTTTTTTAAATATATTGCACATTGGTACATGTCATTATACTATTATGAATTTTTAGTAAAATTAGTTACCAAATTTGAGAATGTAATATTTTACTTCCTTAGATCTGTCTTTGAATATCATTTTATGAGTTGGCAAGACATTCATTGAAATAAAGTTGTTTATTTACCAACGACAACTATTTTCTTTCAAATTTTCTAATTATACGAATACTGTCCTACGTGTCATAAATAAGGTGAATTGAAATTGTTAAAAATCAAATAAACAGAAATTAACGACAGAAACAGAACATACAATTAAATCAACCCTCTTCACTCTTTCGATGCGCTGAAGCCATCCTCGAGTTTCCCAGTAAACGTTACGGTATACCTGTGCCTACATTAGAATTGACATTTTCTCGAAAATAACGAAAATATCCGGTGACACGTAAACAATACTCTACACAAAGAAACGCAACAATGCATAAAGCGTGCATTATCCAACAACAAAAACCTTACCCTCTATCCTACAACACATAAATCCACCCTCAAACGTCACACTCACCACGCTACACCAAAAACACATCTAAACCACCTGCTTCGTCCGTATCATCCTGTCCCGCCACGGTTCCCGTACATCCAAGTGAAGCTCTCGTCATGACAAATCGAATGGTACCATTTTTCATTCGCAAACCATGGGCGGTAGCCACCTTACAGCAAAAACGGACATACAACGAGGTTCGCAGCTCCGAAGAAGGGTGGCGTCGCAGAAGGAAGAAAAACCAAGGAGAAGACATACACGAGAGGTGTCGTATGGAAATGAGAAGTTGCCTCTACTACCTACGAGCTGAAACGTACTACAGCTACTCGATTGGATAGCTACAGCAACAATGACACCTTTATTTTGACACTCTATCGTTATTGGCTGAATAGACGCGAACGAAGCAAACTGTGACAAAGTGAAATCTAACGATAGAAAATAATATTGAGACTATATTTGTAATAATTACTTCAGAGGTGTCTAACTGGTAGCTACTGAGAACACCAATTGGTCAAAATGGAACAGATCCGTTGCCATTCATGTTTCGGTGCTTGCTGAAACTTTCACACGTACAAATCTGATCGCGTGACGGTGAAAGTAAACACACAGTAAAAGACCTCTTTCACTACTGTGGTATTAGGCCAATCTTTTTTCTTGTGATACATAGTACCTTTCTTCTCTTTCAATTGCTGCGCGAATACCACTATGAGCTAGCCACTGTAGATACACATGTCTGGAAGTCTGTTTGTAGCGAACACTAGCAGGACTGTTGATAAAGGATTGGTCAACTGAGAGTGGTCGTTCAGCTCCTGGGGTAGAGGTAATAAAAGGCTGATCAACAGTCAATTGACGACTAAATCTGACAATTGATTCTCCATCAGCTGCTTTCGTACTACTTCCACTCTAGAATTAACCAATTCTCCTGCCATAATTATCTCAGTCTCTACCACTTAAACTTCCATACATATTTATACTGATAACTAATCTACTAATAGTAGCATTCACGCAGTAACCAAATCAGAACATAGAAGAACTATACGCTTCGCCAAGCCAAAAGTGCACAGAGGCAAGGGGAGTTTTCCACTCACGATGCTCGGTTCACTTCGGTTTTCGACGCATGGTCATTATTGGCGCGCGACAATAGCAAACGACGGAAAGGAGACCTATAAAGAGTAAGACGTAACTATAGAGAATCTTATTTTCTATCGTTACGTCTCACTTCTTCGCTTCGGTCTCGCTTCCGTCCGCCATTGCCGCGCGTCAATGACCATGCGTCGAAAACCAAGGCGGCCAAGCGTTGTAAGTCGAGAAATTCCCTTGCCCCTATACACTTTTATCTTGACAGCCGTTGGAGCTAACGTATGAGGCGTATAGTAGCTATAGACAGCTCATGAGCCAATTAGAGACCTTTAAGTTACAGCCTAAATGCTCTCAGCGAACCCTAATACCAAGAGTCTTTCTAAAAGAGATTAGCTGTAGCAAGAAGACTCCTTGCCCTTTAGCTCGCAGGTAACCAGTCAACTTCTCATCCCCGTACAACACTCAGGTCCACAGGTGAGTCTGTTCACCGGAACGGAAAAGAACGAACAGCAAACGAAACGCGGTGACAACAGATCGGCTGGACTCGGGACTTACGCTAGGTGTGGTATTGCCTTGGTTCACGACGTGCTGGGCCGGCACCTCGTCCTGGAAGTAGTCGTCGTTCTGGGTGCCGGGCACGCTCTGCGCGAAGTCCAGGAGTCGTCGGTTCGGGCTGTCCGGGGTGTTCGCCGGCAGATCGTTCGGCAGGTTCGGGAAGCAGGATGAGGCGCTGCGACGATGCCGCGACACACTGTAATGCTCATAGTTACGATAACAGCCGGGCCCGGTCTGGGCTGGGCCCCGGCCGCACACGGACTCCCCCTCCGTGCTGTTACCATCCATCCCTGACATATTGTGACCTGCGAACAGTTTCGCCGTCCCCCGTGACCCCTTTTAGTGATCGCCTGCTGACTCCAACCGTGACGCAAGGAGATTTAGTCTTTTTCTTTTTTACTCGAAGAAGACCCCCGCTCGAAGTTCCGCGCTCGATGTGTTGTCGAACGGTGTAACTCCAATGGAGATAGAAAGATAGAAAGATAGATAGACAGAAATAGATAGAAATAGATAGAAATAAGTAGATAGACAGATAGACAGATAGATAGATAGATAGATAGATAGATAGATAGAGATAGATAGATAGAGAGACATGCAGCGAATGGTTCGATGAGCGGTAGTATTGGTGAAAGGTTGGCGAGAGAGTACGAGTAATGGGAATAGTGCCTCGGTCTGGTCCGGCGTGGTAGGCTGGTCGTTAGGCGGATCAGGAAGAGAGCGGGACTTAGGGGCTGACTCCGTTGAACAGGGTGTCTCACGAGGAGAGCTCGATGAGTGTCTCTGGTGCTGACTTTTTAATGAACCTTTGGTTGTTTGTGGGCTGTCGAGTGAATAGGTGGCTGAGAATTAATTGAGTTCGATAAGAAGCATGGCGGGACCTAGAAATTTCGAGAGCTGAGAGAGATAGTGAGTTGCTTGTCGAGATATCGAGGGAAGTATCGTGGAGCAGAGACTCTAACGTGCGTGACGCGTGGATAGAGTTTGATGAGCGACTTATTAATTGGGTCAAGATTCTGCGGTGGACTATTAAAGCATCCCTATCGAGAACTTCTCTTATAGTGCACGACTGTGCTCTCGCTTAATGCTCTTTGGAGTCGATTAATTGCGGTCGATTTAGCAGCCAGTTTTTGAGATCAAAGACTAGTGTCTCGGGGACTACTGAAAGAAGATGATTGGCCTGGATTCTGCTTTTTCTGCGATTTCTCCTTATTTCTGTGATTGTTACTTTAATGCTTTCGAATGTTTGTTGTTTGATTGGGTGGTGTTGTTGTAAATAGGTTGATTTATGTGTTTGTAATTAGAAGTTTGATTGTAATAATATTTTGAGTGTAATGGCTGGAATATTTAACTAAGATATAATATTAACTTAACCAGCAAATAATTAATGCAAGATGTTAATATATACAATGAGGTTTTATTTAGATACTCAATTTGATTAATGTAAATTATGTTTGTTCACTATTGAAAATGACCAGATTTTTGGTATAGTAAGCATTTCTATTTTAACGAATCATAATTGATTATGATTTATATCATTTATTAGCCCTTAGTCTCTGAAAATGGCTATTAAAATTTGATAAGTATTTCTGTCTGCCAAATGTACATTAGAAAGTCGACGTAACACTCGAGGAGCTTTCTTCGTCAGATTCGAGTGGAATTTTTCTATGTCAAGACACAGATTTATACATAAAGAAGCCATATTGGTTTTCTCTTTTACAAACTCCTTCTGTTGAGAATAACAAAAAGAAAAAATTGCATTCTGTAGAATAAGACATAAATTTTCAATATTATGTGCTTGAAATAGTAACATTATAATTAAGTAAATTGAAACGTATTTCTTGTGACAGTAAAACTTTACTTGTTAAATTTCTTATTTATTATGTTTATCTTCCCTTTTGTAATAAACATTTTCTTACTATCTTATTATGCACTAAGAAAACCACTTGTACATCAATGAATTCCTGAAAGTAATCACTGCAAATTTAAATACATAATAATTGTAATTATAATTATTAATAATTATATTATATTCAAATTATAATTAATATGTAATATGCCATGTGCTATCATACAGCTATGATATTGTCCAACTCGTTTCTATGCGAAAATAAAAAACCTTCTATTGCAAGCATCTTTTCATCCCAAAATTATGTCTCACCCCATGATGCAACCTTTCTTCCATCTTCTGAAGCAAAAAAGACTGTCGCAGAGAAAGCCAATTAGGTTTAATTATGTATATGCTGCGTCAGAGCAAGAAAAAATTTCAAGCAAATCCGAGACACGAGTTCAACAAAGTCTTCTCGTAAAATGCAAATTATAAATTCTAATCAACTGGACTACCGAGCGTTCGCAAACGAAAGAACACCAGCTTAAGATCTGATAGGAATTGCGAATCTAAGCAAACGGCCTAGTGAATGCTTTTTCAGAAAGGTTATTCATTAAACTGCGGATTTTACACACATACACTTGCTCATAGAAATGATTATCAGCCATTACGCAAATCCTAATGTTTCGTAAAAAGAAGGAAAATAAATGATGTCATCGATGAAATTAAACTAAGAAATTAAATGAAGTATTCTATTAACCCTTATCAACACTAGAACAACCGAGCAATTAACACAATTAATATGTAATCTTTATGAAAATTGTAGCAATAGATTTTTTCGGTTTTTTCATATATTAATTATAGTAGCGAAATGAAATTAATTACTTTTCAAATTATTTCGAATATTTGGCACTTTTAAGATATCAATAATCGCGAAGCAAGAAAACTGAGATCCTCCATTTTGTCGGGTACGGTTGTCCTAGCGTTAAATGTGTTTCGTAAATTTCCGTATCCGACAAATGCATAAAATCCGCAGTCCGTCTGTTACACAATATATGCGCTAATATAACGAACAATAAAGGACAAGTTAAATGCTATGCGACACCTGTATATGCGCAGTTAAACGTCAACGTCGATTGTTAATTTTCTAACGCATGTGTTGCGCCAGAAGTATGCTGTAAAAGTAAACAATGCCAATTTCATACAAGGTTCATACTAAATCGACGTTCTAAAGAAGAATCAAATTGAAACAGTCACATCAAACGCGAGCCGCGTTCGGAAAGGAATTCAACTTCGGAAGTCGAGAAATAACAGACTACAGATTTTATGCATTTACACTATGAATGCACGAGATCTAATAAAAGAAAAACATCAGTTGTGAATCAAGGAAGTTTTCAATCTGCTTTTCATTTAGTAGATATTTTCATATTATTAATAAAACCAATTTGTTATAATAATATTAATAAATCTATTAACAAATCAAGTTTGAAATGTAAATAGTGTAGGAAATATTGAATTTACTTAAATATCTGTAGTTTAATCACTGAAAGAGAAACGTTGGATTTAAAGATAATTTATTACAGCAAGAAAACAATTAAAGACATAACGAGTAAAAATAATTACATTTCACGATTCTAATTACTCCAACCACCCGGTAAAATGAATTTACCATGAAATTAATTCTGATTTCGAAGTGTTTATTGAATACTCTTTTTAGTATTCTTTAAAATAAAATAATACAAAATGTTTACCGTTTATCGTAGAGTAAAAATATACTTTCTGGCAAACGAAACTTTAACTCTAATATTTGGTCTTCATTGATCAACAAACAGCACTGGGTAAAATATCATTTCGAACAGTAAACAATAAAAGATTTGTTCAATTATAAATTACCAATATAATTTTCAAACTAAAAAGTTTCCTATATAGCAATGCGTTTTCAAAGTAAGATTTCAATTTAGTTGAAATAAAATCTTGTTCGAGCCAAATGTAGCAATCCACGCGATCAAATATTTCAATTTCATAAGTCATAACAAACATTTTCCAATTTATGATAAACATTACACATATTTCACATACAAAAACCAAAATATTCCACTTTATACTTCAAATTACTAAAACAAAAGTATTTTGTTTGACGACATTTTGTTTGCTATTTAAAACCGTGTTTTATCTGAACCGTGCAGCGTTTAATATTTCCAATAATCTTCCTCTGAATTTTACCCAGCTCTGTCAACAACACCTTCCGAACCCGCCTCGCTGATTAAACGAAATTCACGGTGTTTGCCAGGCTGCCACCACCACGCCGGACGATCCGGCGTCCATTTTCACCCTTTCGTTCCGCAGAACGTATGTACACGTGCTCGAACAGTATATGACCATGTCAGAATAACGTATATATACGTTCTCAAATAATCGAATCATTCACAGGCCAAAGTGGTTAACTCTATTTTTAAACGATTCCAAATTTTACTGCCAAATTCTAAATGAATTTACTCATTAATTACATTACTGAACTAATTCCTCGTGTACATAATTTTGTCGAAATTTTCTATTTTTCCTTTCTTAGACTTAATCACTTTGGCAAATGAATGATTCAACCGTTGCTTGCGTGAAAAGAGTGTACTCTCAAACACGAGAAGTTGTTCTCGGTAGCATTCGATAACGTTTGAAGAGTTCTTGTAGAATTTTTATAACAGCAATTGAGAGATTTTCTTTTTATATCCTTACACTGTGGTATACAATTTACGTGAACATTGTTTACAAGTAGTTACCAATAACAAAACTCATAATACCGATAATTACATCTTCATGAAAATTCAAATTTTCGATAACGTAATTAGAAAACCTAATCAAAACAGGAAATAATTTTTCCTAAGAAATGTAAAAATCACTATATAACTTTGTAACACTGAACTTTCATACTTCGTTTTGTACATAAAAATCCACAGTCTACTAATAATATTGGAAAATGACATCGTTACGCAATGGTTAATATAATATTAACACATTGACAATCAACGTATTAACACTATTTCTACCGTGTCAAAAGACACCTTTTGAAATTTTAACTTAAAACTATTTTCCAAGGTTAGTCCTATATTCTGAATTGACTTTTCCAATTTCCCAATAAAGATTATAACATTAATTATGGGAAATGTTCAAAATTCAATTCAGCTAAAATTTCAAGAGGCGTCTTTTGACACGTTCGATAGAAATAGTGTTAAGTAACTTTGTTCTTTCTCTTGAAGAATTCAATGTTGTCACTTGCAACGTTCCCTGCAAATACTCTTCATTTATCAACGACACGTTATCAATATTTTTTCTATGCCTGTTCCGTTCACGGAGATTACGTTTTATTGCAAGCATGCCGGAGCGAAAGGGTTAATTCGATCGCGAGCGCAGAAACAAGTTTATCAGGCAAGTTTACCATGACGCAGGCGATTCGAATTTCGCCGCGGATGGGGCTGAATTTTCGCT